CTCTTCGAAAGGCAGGTGTGTACTTACATTAAATGTGACTTCATAGCTTTGAGAGATTAAAAGTTCTGCCATTGTCTGCAAAATTGATCTCAGTAATTCCAAAATAACAGCATAAAAAACAAAGAGGCTATAGTTACAGTCTTCTGAAGACATATATTACATTTTAAGAATTTATATTACCGTGTGAGAAATCTGAACATTAAAGAAATTATCTTAAAAACAAAAAGTGTTTAAATGTGTTGTTTCCAAATCTAATGAGTCGTAGTTGAGTATGCTTTATGTAACGCAAGATGATTTCTGTAATATTTAGTACAATACAAACAACATATATATATATATATATATATATATATATATATATAAATATATATTTTTTTTTTTTTTTTTTTATACAAATCACCAATATTGATCATATTTACAGGCCTTTGAAGTGGAAAATATTTAAATTTATAAAAATTTATAAAAATGTACAAAAAAATTTTTTTAAAAGGATGTAAATATGCTGAAATGTTCCGAAATCTTAGTGTTTCTTTTAAATAGGCTTTTTGTAATGCAGGAATTCTGTAGTATATGTAATAAAATATTTAAAATATTGGATATGAAATAAGTAATGTATACAAATATTTTATTTAATACATTTGCGTTATTTATTAAATTACACACACATTTATTTTGATGGATGGATGAGAAGCTGCAGGTGTGAGTAGGTCACCAGTGGGTGTCACCGGGGTCTTTCAGGAATCAGTCTCAAACTCTCCACTCCTCCACGACCACCACAGCATCTGCTCAAGATACGGCCTGGTCTAGGATTATGGAGACCTCGGGATAATGAAAAACAGGCTAACATAAGCGTAGATGCAGTTCAAATTGTAATGTTATTTGGGAAGTGTTCCTAGCTCCGGTTGCCCTTAATCAGGGATGTCCAAACTTAGTCCTGGAGGGCTGGTGTCCTAGAGAGTTTAGCTCTAACCCTAATCAAACACACCTGAACCAGCTAATCAAGCTCTTTTTAGGTATACTAGACTTCCAGGCAGTTGTGTGGGAGGAAGTTGGAACATGCAGGACACCGGCCCTTCAGGACCGACTGAACACCCCTGCCTTAAATAATGCAGCCTAACAATCCTTTAGAGCAGGGATGTCAAACTCCATTCCTGGAGGGCCGCAGCCCTGCACAGTTTAGTTCCTATCCTAATTAAATACACCTGATCAAACTAATTGAGTCCTTCAGGCTTGTTTGAAACCTACAGGTAAGTGCGTTTGAGGAGGGTTGGAACTAAACTGTGCAGAGCTGCGGCCCTCCAGGAATTGAGTTTGACATCCCTGCTTTAGAGTATTGGGATTTCGAAAGCGTTTGAGTTTTATGTGTATGCTAGTGCAAAGAGATGTGTATAGATAGATAGATAGATATTATATGATGGTTATCCATATAGACAACAAACACCACAGAAATGATATGATTTTTACAGACCTTGCTTGAAAAAAAATTATTAAAAAAGGATTAAATTATGTCTAAGTCTATATTTTTAGGTTTGCATATATATTTAAATATTTACAGTTATGTGAAACGAACATATTAAATACCATAAATGTTTGAAATGTTTGAAAAATGTCATTATATCAACCTCATCATTATATTCGGCATGGGCCTGTCCTCACACCTCTGTGGTATGCGCTGTGAAATGATTCATAGTCAGAACTTGCACAATTATTGCCAGTGATTGTTCATACCTATATTACAACAGCAGCACGCCTCACACATGTTCAGTCTGGCTCAACCTTTATTATTTCAGTGGACACTTTTTTCAATTCCTGCAAGCTATTGCATTCAACTAGGACAGTCTCTTATGCGTTAATAGTTCTAACTTTAAGGGAGACTCCAGTTATTTTATAAATAGGCTCATTGACTGCTCCCTAAGAGTTAAACAGTTGACTTTGAGCATTTTTTTAATTCATTCATCCGATTTTTAGGTGTGGCGGGAGCACTTTTAGCTTAGCTTAGCATAAATCATTGAATCGGATTAGACCGTTAGCATCATGCTTCATAATTACCAAATACTTTTGATAATTTTTCTATTTTAAGTTAGAAGTTACCAAGCTGGGGACTATTTTCATGTTCTATCATTGTGTCTGCTGCAGCCATGGTATGACAGCGAAGTTCCTCAGTTGTTATGCCAGAATGAGAGTATAGTTCTTGTCCATATCTACTTAAAAATAGCAACTTAACATTTTCTGTCTCTCTTAGTACATGATGTAACTACAGAAGTGTAAAGCTTTGAATAGACAAATTATCAAAACTCTGATCATTTTTGAGCATGATGCTAACGGTCTAATCCGATTCAGTGATGTATGCTAAGCTAAGCTAAAAGTGCTCTCGCATGACCCGGAGATTGGCTTGACATCACATCTGTCATCAATTTGCAAGTGGATTAGGAGCTAATGCATATTTTCCGTCCTCTTCTGTCACAGGCATCAGTGTGAGGCATGAGATGAGCTCGGCTGTTCATATGCATCATAAGTTTGCATTAGTGGACGGCAGAAAGCTGATCAGCGGCTCCCTCAACTGGACACTCACCGCAGTCCAGAGCAACAAGGAGAACGTGATCATCACAGAGGAGCCGGAGCTCGTGCGGCCCTTCCAGCAGGAGTTCCTCAAGCTGTGGGAGGCCAGCGATCCGGCCAATCTCAAGCTCCAAAGCAAAAACGGTCAGATAAAGAAGTAGTGTGCACAATGTAGTGTACATAGGGATTTATGTTTATGTCCTAAAGGTTTCATCAGGGAGGAGTTTGTTTCATATGTTTAATAGCTTTTAAAAGTTAAAGGAGTTTTATTTCATGACAATCTGAACACCTTTAGGACTTTAATGACTTGAGAAAAGTTCAACATTTCTTTAGTTCTTTAAAATTCTAGTTTTATTTTTTTAAACATGTGCTGTAATCTAAGTAAGCACTAGTTCAAATATAGACATCTGCTTCGCTAATTCACATCTCTGCTTACCTAGTGTGTAAAGCAAGCTGAAACCTGTGTGTTTATAGCCGTGCCTTTAGTTGCTCAATCCCTAATGGCTGCTCGCCTTTTGTGTTCCTCTATTGTAACTTGTAGGTTTTAGATAAGCTTATTTCTGTACATATTTTCAATTCATATTCATATATGAACCCATATGTTGCATAAATATATAAAAAGGATACATAGCTGTTCTCATTTACTTAATTTAATGTTGTGGTTGTCTTTGTTTTGTTATATTTTAATAAATTGACTTCATATACTATAAAACCAGAAGTTCATTCATTCACTCATTTTCTTTTCGGCTTAGTCCCTTTATTAATCCGGGGTCGCCACAGCGGAATGAACCGCCAACTAATCCAGCAAGTTTTTACGCAGCGGATGCCCTTCCAGCTGCAACCCATCTCTGGGAAACATCCACACACACTCAATCACACTAAATTCACTAAGGACAATTTAGCCTACCCAATTCACCTGTACTTGATGTCTTTTGACTGTGGGGGAAACCGGAGCACCCGGAAAAAACCCACGCCAAGACTCGAACCTGCAACCTTCTTGCTGTAAGGCGACAGCACTACCTACTGCGCCACTGCGTTGCCACAACCAGATGTTTTTGATGTTAATAATAATTTACTGGACTTGTGTCTGTTTGTAACTGAATACTAGGAGCTTATCAATAGTTTATTCCATATATTACACTTTAGGTGCCTTAATAATGGTAATGGTTTGTTAATAATAATATAGTTTGTAAAATTATAAATTGGTTATATATATATATATATTGTAGGTTAAATTCAGTTATTTTGCAACACACAGGAAACATTAGATTATTAATTTTTGATTGATTCCTAGATTAAAATAAAGGCATTAGATGTAAACAGTTAGCTGGAAACGACAAAATATTTCTTTACTCCAAAAATAATTTTAAATGTGGGACAAGGTAGGCCAAACCTACGTGGCCTACATATCAATTTTTAACATCTGGGCCAAATACTACATTTGACATCTGGCCCATGTCTCGCATGCTGCCTTAAAGCCAGAATTCTTTGCTCCCTGGGTCGAGTCTGTTTGCAAGTTCTGCAATCAAGCTTGAAACGTCGAGGTGATGGAGCTTTTTTAGTAGCAGCTCCAAGACTTTGGAACGATCTTCCACTAACATTGAGAACATCAGCAAGTTTTGAGTCTTTTCAGAGGTCAATGAAAACACACCTATTTAGCTTTTAATCAGGTGTTGTGAGTCTATATACTTGTGTGTTTGCATGTTTTATGGGTTTTTATGTACAGCACTTTAGTACCCGTTGTGGTTGGTTGAAAGTGCTTTAAAAAATAAATGGAGTTAAGTAATAAACATCTGACCTCTTCCCAACAGGGAAATCCACCAAGAATACATGATTACATGCTGTCATGGCTTATAATAGAAGTCAATGGGGCAAAAACAGACACTAACATAACGAAAGGGTAGTCAATTTAAGTGTATTGTTGAGTTTTTGAAAAATTTCAAAGCATTTTCCCCAAATATGTCAAATATAAGATTTGTCACCAAAAAAGTCATTACATTTGCTAACACACGGAAAATTGTGGCTAAATTAAGACTGCAAATCGCCTCAGAGTAGGTGAAAACATCCCCAACATCACACAAGGGCACCATGCTAGCCATAAATCTGCTGACAATCGTGCTTTTCTTCATCTTTTGAGAATGCTAATGACACTACTTTCCCACAATGACCCGTATGTAAACAGCAGACGATAATGCTGTGTGGCTGACAGGGGACCTGTTGATTGGCTGCTCAGTAAGTGCAGGCTGGACGCTCGCCAGGCCCGCCGGCTGATCTGGAAACAGTTGTCTCCGTTTGGCCGAGCCGTCAGCACAAATAAAAACTGGTCGTCAGCCAGGACTCTGCAGGCTTCAAGCTTCAGATTTTGCAACGCCCCTCTGGAGGAAAGCGAATGGACGGATTTTAAACCGATAACACGAGTGGACCTCTTTTCTAGTGTGTGTGTTTTTAACGGGAAAAGTGAAACTGGATCTGCTTGGACTGAATGTCAGCTGAAATCAGCGGAGAAAGAGCGCGATATTAACTTTATAAAATAAACAACCTCCTCTGAGAAGAGCCGGATAAGGTTAGTAATGTTTGTGCCTGAAGGATACGCGTTTTTCTGAAGTAACAGTCGGTTAGCTACTGTACGCGTCCATATGGAAGCGTGACTGGAGCTTCATCGCCTCATAATTCAGTTATTAATGACATGATTGTATGAATATTATCTGACTGACTAGCTGATATGCTTTTTGACAGGTTTGTAGATTTCATTAGTTTATTTATTAGGGTGTGTGTGCTGCTGTTTGTCACTGTCGACCATCGTTATTGTGAATGATTGTTCATTTTAAACATTGTCTGTGCTTAAAAGGGCTTGTAATTTTATTGGACATAACTGTGGCACTGCAGCATTGTGTTCATTCATATGTGCAAGGTGTGTCATATCCTGGTAACTCCCTCTTCTTCAGGTAATGTTTTTTTACAGGTGTTGATGTGGTCGCCTGTTTCTCAAAATAGAGGATGTTAATACTTAAACAAAAATCGCCTTATATTAGGGTGTATTTTACTTTATTATTATCATTATTTTTATTAAATACAATGTATAAATGTTTATGATTACTCTAAAAAATAGACTGACACAGTTTCAATTTACTGGAACTTCTATGTTAAGCTGCTTTGACACAATCTACATTGAAATAAAGATGGTGACACTATTTTAATGGTCCATTTGAGTATTAGTAGTCTGTCTGCTTAATATCTGTTGATATTGCTCCTTCAACTGATATTTAACTGATTATAAGAAACTTTGCAAGTACATGTCAGCTCACCCTAACCTAACAGTAACAAACAGTGTACTTATAATAATGAGAATCAGTTGGCATGTAGATGCAATGTAACTTAAATTCAATAAACGGACCATCAAAATAAAGTGTGACCATGAAGATGAATTGAATTGAATTATTATTTTTAATATTATTATTATTATATATGATCAAAATGAAGACTTTTTGAAAATCTAAATGCTGCTCTTTTTCTACAAAACTGTGTCTAAACTGTGATTTATTGAGGTATATTTTAAGCCTTTTCATATGTCATATGATAACATTTATGTTACAAACATAATGAAATGTAAGTCATTATTAACAGAAAACAGACAGAGTATTATTATTTGATGATTATGTAAATCAAACTCACGATTGTAGCCATTTTCAACTGAGATAAAGCTGGAAAATAAAAAAACAGATCAATAAAATAAATTTCAAAATGAGAAGAAAATGAAACTGAAAAACGCCTAATATAAAGTGAAGATTTAAAACTTTTTGAAGACTTATAAATGAATTTTAAGCCGGTATTTACAGGAAATGTGTAGTCATACCAGTAACTTAAATATTACCCGACGTTAACTTGAAATAAGCTAAAACATTAATGCTAATATTGCCAAATGTGAAAATATAGAAACTAACTGTGAATTAAAGCTAAACATAAATATGCAAAACAAAAAGGTACTATACATTTGGGCTGCGCAATATGTTGTTTCAGCAGTTATATCGCAATGTGCGCATCCGCAATAGTCACATTGCAAAGATATGCAGTGTCCAGTGTAAATTATAGATGAACAGGAGCTGCAGAATTGCAACAAACCAAGTTCAAAAAGTAATCTTGATGAGTACTGTGAACTTGATCCATTTGAGTAAACAAAGCAATTTGAGCGCAGTAAATCCCAATAATTGAAGAGAATTCAAACCAATTGAGTACTGTAAAACCCAACAAGTTAAGGCAACTCAAACTGATTGCAACAAACCATTTCTATGAGCACTGTGAACTTACTGCATTTAAGTTGAAGTAATGATGTATTTAATGAACTCTTTATCAACAACACTGAGTTCAAAACTCTTTTCAAATGACTAGAATTAACTTGAGGGTTGGGTTAAGTACAGTGCTTTCATTTGATAAAGTTGACTGTTGGGTTTTACATCACTGTATTTATATGATTTATGCTTAGACTTTGTCTTGTTTCTAGCCCAAATATCTACATTTCAAAGGGAAAACAAACAAATTTTACTTGCCACACTTGCTAAAAACTCTAAATTTTCACTTATTTCTTCTGACGGTGAAAAGTAAATAATATCTTTACTTGGTCTACGATTTTTTTGGGGATATTTGGACTAAAAACAAGACAAAACAAAGTAAAAAAATGATTTTTATTTATTTATAATTTTTTTTTGCATTGTGATTATTCAACTTCTGTGCCTCAATACTGTTAGACTCCCCAGAAAACAGTCAAATTCAAACCATCTTTTGATAGTGTATTTGTATCGCAATATTTATCGCTGAAACATATTCCCAACATCAGATTTTTACAACAATGTGAAGCCCTACTATATATTTAAAGCAGAGTCAACTGGTTAAATGCTAATAATACTATGTAAATACAACTAATAATATAACACTGATTTCACACAGTATTAACAGCATAGCCCAGTGATGATCTGTATTGTGTGCTTCTTATTTAAAGTAGAGTTTTAATGGCTAGAATGAGCAGTGCTGAGTTGGTCTCTGCTGTAATGGCTCTTAATCAAAGAAAGATCCTCACTCAGCATGCCTGAAGCACAAAGAACGAGAGATATATAGATAGATGACACTGCTGGAAGAGTACTTTAACTAACAAAGGACCAACTGCGCTTCAGAAAAATGTCCTGAAGGGCCACAGCACTTTTCTGAAGTGTAAGACAGTCTTTGTTGTTATTGTTCACTGTAAACTACTTACATATTTACTTTTTCTCCCCTCCTCTAGATGGCGTCGGCCAACGATACCCGTCATCAGACACAGGTGCAGAAAGACGTTGCTGATCAGAATTTTGACTACATGTTCAAGCTGCTCATCATTGGCAACAGCAGTGTGGGAAAAACAAGTTTTCTGTTCCGTTACGCTGACGATTCGTTCACCTCAGCATTCGTCAGCACAGTCGGCATCGACTTCAAAGTCAAAACGGTTTACCGCAACGAGAAGCGAGTCAAACTTCAGATATGGGTGAGTACGAAAATTTGGATGAGTGGGAAGCTGGATCAGGAAGCTGCGTGAGCTAACAAAATCATATGGTTTGATTTGTTTTATTTGCACTTTAAACAATTATATATTTGTTTTTTGCAAACTGTTTTTTAGCAGTATATTCTATTACAGATTTACTTTATATGCATTTTGGCTGTATTTTTGATAACAGCATTATTAGGGAGCCCGAAAATGCATATTTTTGAAAGTGAGTTTCAAAGTACATGGTTATCGTTTACACCCTATATCGTTTACGACAACTGAATTTTCAGAAAATTTATTACATCACGCACTTATGAATTATGTATTCGGTTTAGTGCTGCATGATATTGGAAAAATCAGACATTGTTATTTTTGTTTTGTTTTGCTGCGATATTATATATATATATATATATATATATATATATATATATATATATATATATTAGTGCTGTCAATCGATTAAAAAAAATTAACTAATTAATCACAGTTTTTAAAAAAATTTAATTGTGATCGATCGTGATTAATCGCATTTAAAGTACTGAAACTTGTAATTTTGGTTATTTAAATGTAAAATAATGTAAATGCAAGACAAAACTCCCCTCATTCAACACGCATGATCACGTTCATCAAATTTGCTTAAATTAAGCGTCCTAAAGTATTACTGTATTTCACAAGGATTCTGACACAACAACGCGAAGCATACACTTTCGTATGTTTTCGAGTCACGAAATGCGGAGGATTTTCTTTCTGTTCGCCATGCGGTATCGACTTACAAAAGAAGTCGAAAGTTAAAAATGAAACGCACGAAATTGCATGAAACTTTGGATAACCTGTGATGCGACTAATTGTTTTATACTGGAACTTGCCTTCTAAAAGGGCTTCCTTGGTCTTATCCACAATTATTGCATGTTAAACACACGTCCACCACAACAGGAAGTAAAAAAAAAACCTGCAACTGCGTTAATTGCGTTAATTTTTTTTTACGCGTTAATTATTTAAAATTAATCGCATGCGTTAACGCACTAATTTTGACAGCGCATATATATATATATATATATATATATATATATATATATATATATATATATATATATATATATATATATATATACTGCGATATGAATATAATTTGAAGAGCCATCGAATAGGCTCTATTTGAAAATATTTAATTGATTTAGATTGACAAGAACGATCAAGTTCTTTTCTATGCAGAGCATTTGCATAAAATATCATAAATTACAAGCATATAATAATACGTCACATCAAACATTTAAAATAAGAATTTAAATAAACCGGCAAACCTACAGTATTCAATACAGAAATTAAACAATCAAATGTGAAATAATAAATAATATTTAATGATATATTTATCTTTTAAATTGTGATAGTGATGCTCAAATGATATATTGTTCTGCCCTAGTCAGGGCTGGCTGTACATACCCTGTGTTTGCATGTTTCCACCCCCAACCACGCAGGTACAGTGCTTTTTACAATGTAAAAAACACCACCTACTGGCCTGACATTCAAATTACAGCATCTTAAGTTGTATTTGAGGATTTTTATAAACGGTGGTTGTTTTAAAATTGTGGCTGCATGTACACAAAGCATTTCAACAACACCAAAAAAATGTTTTCATCATGTACACGTGAGTTATGTATTCAGTTTGCAGTTATAAACGAGTAGTTTGTTAACTAAAATAGCAGTGGTAATTTACAGGGCCGTATGTGCTCAGATGTACAGTGCTTTGTACAATGTGACAAACACCACCTACTGGCCTGACATGCAAATTACAGCACCTTGAGTTGTTTTCTAGGGTTCTGGTAACCAGTGGCTGTTTTAAGAATGTGTCTGCTTGTATGCAAAACCTTTCAAAAACACAAAGGCTCTTCTTTTATGGTTTGAATAAAACTCTGAACTGGCTAATTTTCAGAAATCATTTCATCATACACTGGTGGATTATGCTTTCAGTTTATAGCCATTGTAGTTTTTTACGATATGACAAACACCACCTACTGGCCTTAAATGCAAATTAAGAATTATCTTTAGTTGTTTTTGTGGATACTTGTAAGCAGTTTTTTTTTTATTTATTGTGGCTGCCTGTATACAAAACTTTTCAAAACCACAAAAGCTTTTTTTAATGTTTTGAATAAAACTCAATTTCAGAAAATTATTTCATCATACACATGTGGATTATGTATTCAGTTTGTAGCCATAAATTAATAATTTAATACCTAAAACATCAGTGGCAAATTACAGGACAGTATGTGCTTGGATGGACAGTGTTTTTTTTTTTTTTTTTTTATCAATTTGACATTGATGGCCTTACATGCAAATTACAGCAACTTTAGTTGTTTTCAAGGACTCTTGTAAACTGGTTGTTTTAAAAATGTGGCTGCTTGTATGCAAAACTTATCAAAAACACAAAAGCTTTTCTTTTATGGCATGATTAAAACTCCAAAGTGGGCCACTCTTCAAAAATGCGCAGCAGTTTTACCAATTTCTCAGTAGCCGTCCAGGTCCAAAAGATGTTATAAGCCATAATAACCAATCCGCTTGTAAAGTGTGACGTCACGCGAAGCAGCTTCCGGGTCCAAGCGCTCTATTCAACTGAATGGGGTAGACTCATGAATTGGTAATAATAAACGTTTACAAAGAGATTTAATAGGTTCGAAAATCACGATCGCAATATATATATCCATGCCTAATATCTGATGGGCAGAAAGTTTTTAATTTTTTTATAAATTGTTAAAATTTTGGTGTTTGTTATGCAGCAAGCCCAGAGATTGTTGTGTACACTATGACTTTATATCAAATTAACTTTAATGTGTGATAGGAATAAAACGTGATCATAAATGAATGATTTCTCCACTCAAATGAATGGCGGCTTGGACCCGGAAACGGTATTACATACGCCACAAACACTTCACCACTTAACAAGCGGATTCAACTGTATGGGGAGACTCATGAAATGGTAATAATAAACGTTTACAAAGAGATTTAATAGGCTCGAAAATCACGATCGCAATATATATGTCCATGCCTAATGTCCGATGGCCAGAAAGTGATACATTTTTTATAAATTGTTACATTTTTGGTATTTGTTATGCAGCAAGCCCAGAGATTGTTGTGTACACTATGATTTTATATCAAATTAACTTTAATGTGTGATAGGAATAAAAAGTGATCATAAACTAATAATTTCTCAACTCAAATGAGTGGCGGCTTGGAACCGGAAACAGTATTACATACGTCACAAACACGTCATCACTTAACAAGTGGATAGAATAAAGTCAGTTGCAATGCTGATATCAACATTAGAAACTTTCATTGGAAACAACAAAGAAAGTATTTGGTATTTAAAACAAAAGCCATAAAGAGAAACAAACTTAATGATTCCCTTATTTTTGTCTGATTGGTGGAAATCTGAATAGAATTATGGGTAATGCAGTTTTTCATAGGGTACAGTATATGCCGAGCTAGGGCTGTTCCCATGCTGATACACTTCCGGTGACCTGTTATTGTGAACTTCTTTCCATTTTATACGGTTCCTTATACAGCATCGATGTTGTAATGTCATTTAAATACATTCAGTTAAATAAACTTTAGCATTTATTTAGTTGCTCAAGAGTAAAACGAGACAAAAAGCTGTTTACTCGCACGCGCCCGTCAGAATCGGCAGGCTAACGCAGGAGCTCTATTGAATATACTGGGGTAAAATAAATGCTCATATTATAAAGACATGGCGGGGGAAATGTAATTTAATGCAGTGCTTCTTGTACAATCTGAGACCCACTTTAAATCGGATATCACTCAGCTAGTGGAGATCGCTGATTTTTAAAGAAAACAGACCTTAAACGCACCGGATTTTGCATTGGCATTCAATTTGCCGGAAGAGCTTAACCCAGGTTAATGGCAAATTAAAAGTCTTATTAGCATGCTTCGGCATATACCCCATTCCAAGTATGATCGGTAACTAAAGAGAAGTGGTTAAGACTTTACTGCAAAATCTTTGATTGCCAGAATTTAAATGCATTCAGTGTCATGAAGAATACATTTAAGGCTTTATTTTTCACTAGTTAAACCAGAAAGAAAAGCTTGTTATTGCTTAAGGTAGTGCTTAATGTTGTGAAAAGAGGATCTGCCAGTCATGCGTCAGTAAGACTAGATGATACCTTGATCAAGATAATCTAGGTGTGCGTGCATATATGTGTGCGTTTCAGTGGTGTGTGTCAGCAATGATGTTTAATGTTCCAAAACAACCTGACCAACCTAAAGCAGATGGCCCCATCATCTAATGCATTATTCTCTGAACACACACGCAAACACACGCCACACACACATGGTGCCAAATCCATTTTGAGGGAACCTTTAGAAAATGAAAGCCATAAAATCAAATTGGCTGTGCTTTTCGCCAGTCCAGAGACCAGCGTGCATCTGCCTTCTGCTGTGAATCACTAATTGAATCAATACTGACACAGGAAGTGGGTCAGAATATCAGCTGCCCAGTGCTGCCAAGGAATTATTTATGATTGTGTGTGTGTGTGTGTGTGTGTTTTTTTTGTCTGATATGTTAATTACTGATTCTTTTTGTTTAGATTTTGTAAATGTAGTTATTCTGTGCCCGTTCACAGCCGCAGAGGAAGCGACAGCACTTTCTGTTGATGGAAGGAAGTGGGTGCGAACGCCTCAGAGGTGTTGAGTAGCATTTTCCCAGAATGCACCAGTGTGCTCGTGATAACCCACCATAGAACAACCCAGCTCTGCATACTGTATACACTCAGTTTGACTTGAATAGGCAAGAATACCATTTAGAATATGTGCTGATATTCAGTAACGCGATATATTGTGTCAGTGGAAATAATGTTAATAATTATTTATGTTATCTAAGCATTTTGAAAGCATTTAAAGAATTTGACTGTTGCATCCACAGTGGTGACATTGTTAGATTTGATAAGCTTTTAATTTTCAAACCTATAGATTTTTAGAGGTCATCTGGCCTG